CACAGAGATCATGCTTTCCGGGTGTTTTTTCTTTTGTTGAATGAATGAAACTATCTGTAAATTCATGACAAGATTATGATTTTCTCAGTTTCAGAACAGTGATAATAAAATTATTTAATCCAATATGAAAACATTATTGACCTTGTGATTTAACCCTAAGGTGAGATTTAATTGCTTTTTTAAAAGTGTTTTTAAATGTTATTTCTGGTTTTTGGTTTTAGATACTTCAACTCAGCACTTCAGTAGGCCAGATTTAATTTATACCCGTTTCTACTCAATAACTGAGAAGACAATACTTCGTCTGCTTTGGCCAATTTGCCCTTCTGTGGCCAGAACTGAGTTCTCTCATCCCAACATCAGCCTGCATTAAGTCCCACAGAGGCTGATGGCACAGCTCCCATGTGCCTGGCTTCCCACAGACCTGAATGAATATCTCAGCTGAGGGAGCCTGGGAGCTAACTCCTGCTCACACCCCCTCATGACGACAGAAAATAGCCTCTTGAAAATGCACCTAATAAGACAGATTTAGCCTGAAAGTGCACTGAATAACTCCTGTGGTACTGTTCATTGTGCAGGAGTTCATGCAGCAAGTACTTTGGGTGAGCCTCCTGAAGAAATACACACCCCGCTATAAACACGACAAAAAAGAGAGGCATTTTCTCAAGATGTTGCAATGTCATCTCTGTGCAAGAGCAGGAAAGCAATGGTAAGAAGGATTCTGAGCCATGAAAGGGCCAAGCCTGTTGAAATGCCAGGAGATGGATGTTAATTGGCTTAACTAAAGAAAAATTATTCCTTCAGATTGTGGGATTTTGCTGAAGCCATAGAGGGAGTAGATACTGCTTTGTTGGACTAGATTGTGTTTATTAAACAACAGAGCAATTTGGCTGAATAAAATAAGCTAAGAATAATGAAACAGTGGTTTAGCCACTGTCATTTCATTCTTACATGTTCTGTATATCATAATTAAAACTGTTCATAGCTTTTTATACTCCATACTAGAAATCTCAGGCGCTATGTGCCTGGTTCTTTTGGGTTTTTTAAATTGTTTTGTCATCTGGTTTTGTGAAAGATAGTCCTTTTCCTTGCAGATCTCACTTATATCTATGGACCACTGTATTTGTAAGAAACAGTAGTGCCTGCCCTAATTGAGATACATCCTATTTGGGCAGCCAGATGCAACAAGAGACATGGGAACAAACAGTAAACAATGGTAATTCACCTGATTTTACCAGTAACATCAATGTCTTAGGGTAAGTTTAGTAAATTAAATCTGGTCAAAATAATTTTCAAAATAAATATTTTTGGTTTGAGTTCTTTGTGATACAAAGCAGGTGTTTAAACAGCCAACACTTATTTTAGGAGAATTCTAAACGTCAGTTTAAAATTCATGAATCCTATATTTGAGGGACAAGAAATAAGATAACTTTTCAGGGCAGTAAGGATGTACTATATAAAAGTAGAGTTGATTTAAAAATTAAATCATAGACAAAATCCCCACTGTTCTCCCTCCACCCTCTAGCTTACACCCAAGTGGAAAGTGGAAGTGGCAGCTATTGTGGTAAAACATTCCTTGGTCCATATGTGTTGGAGTAAATGAAAAACCATTAAATGGATAATGGAAAACCGTGCTCTGAGAATCCATCAATAAAAGGATGGCAAGCAATTGTTAAAGACAGCCCTTTCTAAATGTAGCTTTATTGCCAGAGGATGGAAAATTGAGAGAAAATGTGCGAACAATTGAATTTATGGTAATGGCAATCAGTGTATTGTGTCACCAAGGCAAAGCTCAGAGCAAACGTAAAGACAAAATACACCACTGTCTCTTGGAAACCCTGTGTTTCACCCATTATCTCTTGGTACTGGAAACTGTAATATTCTGATATTAAAACCTAATTCATTGCAAAGTACTTTAGGAGGCAGTGAGGGTGATATTCTGCTCTGTGCCTGCTTTAAGGTGAACTGCTGGACTAAAAGCAATTGAAGGCATGACCTACCAGCAGCTTGTTTCTGTGTACTCAAAATAGCTTTGTCCTTTACCTTCAGTGATACCTGGACAGTCCGATGCTCTTACCTTGGCAGTTTATGGGTAAACTACCTTGAGATAATTTGAGTCAATTTGAATGTTAAGCCTGTTTGAAAATGCACTGTCTTTATTGAAGCAACAGACATGACTGCTAAATGCCAGGTAGGAAGAAAATTCACCAGTGGGCTCAGTGGGAGGCTCCCAATAACCAGATAAACAGCAAAGAGGAAAACCAACTTCTGCTGCAGGTCACAGATACTTTCTCTGGACAAAGCCCCAGACAAAGACTGAATGAGCTAACCTTGTGGCTGGAAAACCACAGGCACCAGCAAACTTTATATTTGAGACAGACTGCACTCTGCACTCAGCAGTCAGGCCAGTGTTGAGGGAGGGAGAGGGAAGGTTTTCCCGTAAGACTTATTTTGATTTTTATGTGCAAAGAAATTGCTGGCACATTTCCAGAGGTTATTTATGTGTGAGTTTGGGTTTCTTTTACTCCATGTCCCCACCTCGTGGTGCCAACAGACTGTTTCAGGAGCTATGTCTCCCCTGATGTCCATGGGAGTTCCAGCTGTCCTTGATTCTGCTCTGTCCACACTGCTGCTCCCATATAACCAACTGTGCACAGTACTGCTCGATGGACCAAGGAAATGCCCCCGCATTAGAGGAAGTCTGGGAGATTATTATTATTATTATTAGTAGTGGTGGTAGTAGTAATAATAATAATAATAATAATAATAATAATAATCATCATCATCATCATCATCATCATCATCATCATCATCATTTTTTTTAATGTGTAGAGAACAAGCACAATGTGTTTGGATGTACTCTGGATACAGCAGTGGATATGGATGGGGTTACCTGACAAAGTTCCTAATCCTTGATGAGTTGAGATTCTAAAGATAATCCTCTACAAAGCACTGAGGGGATGCAGCATTTGCTAAATTTATCTTCTGCAGATTTTGGGATGAGAACAATGCTTGAAAACAGAACAAATAGGAATAAAATACCCCAGGTCAGTACATGTCATTCAGGAGCACCTCCTTTCCCTAAATGGGCACGAACACTGCTGTGCCAAAGTTCAGCTAAACTGTTCTTTGTCTAAGTCCTCTGCAAAGACTGAATCTGTAGACAAGTTTCCCATACTAAAAAGTCCTACATTAGATGAACAGAGCAAACATATCTTTGTAAAATAATAAAAAAATCTAATTTCTGGAGATTACTCCCCAGATCTCAATACCAAAAACAAAGAATGGAAGATGGAGAGTTTTGAAAATGATAGAAGGTTGTTATGAGGTAACCAGCAGTGAGAAACTTCATGTTTCAAAGTAGTATGGGCCCAAGGAGAGCCCAAACAACTCAATTGGAGAAATGAAAGTAAGAAGCAGCAGCCAGTCGCAGTCCAGACTCATGGAGAGCTGAGCTTGAAGAATGGCACTAATGTGAACAAAAATCCAAAAGTGTCCAGCTGATGGCCCTGCTAAGGTGGTGGGAGAAATTACCACCAGGCAAAATAGCTGTAAACCAAGCCTCTCTTTTAAAGGTAAAGCCTTGAATGTTAGTGGCTTGGGTTGTGGCATGGCTTTGTGTCTCTTTGCAGGAAAACATTTACTAAACATGTCATTAGTTCATATTACACTGTTGCTGCTATTAATGACTCTACCCTTCTTGAAGGAAAATATTTCTGATTTATGAATAAGTTAGGCTTTTTTTGTTGTTTTTGTTTTACATGATTTAGCCCTAATAAGTTGGGGTTTTGTTGCTTTTGTTTTACATGGTTTTGCCCGAAGCATAACAATTACTATGTCTCTGAAAAGCCCATATATGACAGAGGCACGGCAATGTGAGTTCTCTTGAAAAATTTAAGCCTGTCATTCCAAGAAGTGTAGTTGTCTCAGCAGCAAACAAGGATTTAAGTACCTTTGAGACATTTGCCTTTAATTGCAGAGGAACAGCATTGCCAGCTCCAAAAATGTTTAACCTTCAGAATTGCTTTTCTTACTCATTAGCATCCTGTTGAGGCACTGATTACAAATATGAGGGCTGGGAGAGAGACCTGTAGGATGGCTGCCTTGGCTGGGGCCAGGCAGAGCCATGGGGTTCAGCTGAGCCTGGCCTCAGGGGCACCTCAAAAGAGTCTATTTCTTTGAGTAGCTAAAGGTCTGAGCATAGTCGCATAATGTTACGGGTAGCATATACCTGTATCTTTAGCTGAGAAGGGAGGAAAGTCACAAGCCTGATAAAGCTGGGGAGCACCTTTGGGGATGTTGAGGTCTGGGATGGTGTCTGGCCACATCCCTTTTTAGGGCACGAGGACTGTGTCAATGTTGTTTCCCCCATCTTCACCTGGGGCATGCAGGAGTTGGATGCATCTGGTGCCTCAGATAATACGTCAGAGACCGAGGGGAGGAGGCACTTTGGCTTCAGCCAGAGCAGCTCAAGATCTGTACCCTTTTTCTGTACCACCAGAGCTCTTATGATTAAAGGTATATTCCTGGAAATTATTGTTTTAAATTCCATTTTCCCAGACAGTTTTTTTATACTAAGAAAAAAAGATTGGGTAGCCTGTGTACATTTTATTTTTAAATCACCAACAGAAATTAAAATGGATAAAACCTTTATGACTGTGCAGCCTCTCTAATTATGAATGCTTCAAACCTTGCTTGTCTGGAAGCTATGCTGGACTTTGCAAGTGCTGCTATGTAGCCTCGGCTGCTGCTTTCTCCCCAGGAGCTGCCTCCCCCCAGGCACCAGCAGCACAGAGGTGATTTGATGAGCTCTGCCAGGCTGCCTGCGTGAAATCATAGGCTGGTCATAATGAGTGCTCAGCAGGCTGTCCTTGCCCCTTCTGCTCCCTCCAGTTCCCCAACCAGGATTCCTAATTTACTCAGCTGTCTTTTAGCACAGGTCTGATTCAGTATTGTATTTGTCATCCCCAGCTTTCTTGATTCACTGGCTGAAAAGCAGGAAACACAACCCTGCACCTGGTGGGATTCAGCACTGGAGAAATGCCTGTCTAAAGACTGGAGTTGGGCTTTCCTTTTATATAAATTGAGTAAGTTTACAGGGAATCTCTTCTTACAGGGAACACACAGAGAATTCTGTTTCTTTGTCAATCTCTGACTTCTGCCAAGTGCTCAGCTTTCATTCCAGATCTGTTCACCATCAGCCCTATCTTCAATTTATTCCATATAAGTTGAGATGCTGTAATTGGACTTCTCCAAGTCTGCACAGCCTTGTCCTAAAGTACGTCAAATGTCTTATCCAGGCTTTGATTACTCTGATGGACTACAGACATCCTGTTTGTTTGTTTATTAGGCAGCTTCTTATCTCAGTTGCAGACTTAGGAAACTCCATCATTTCAGTTGCACAGCTCCAGCAATTAGGCTTCCTGCTTTTCTGATCTGGCTGGTGCTACCATACCCTTTGTAAGGACCAGGAGAAGGAGGCATAAGAAAGAAAGCATCACCACTGGGAGCAGTCAGCAGTATAAGGTAAGAACCGTGATCATACATATCCTATGCTGAATCCTATCAAACTGGAGTATTGAGCAGAACAAAAGAGTGCTAAAACAAGGCCAGCAACAAAAATTATTAATAACATAGATTACCATTTCACACACTGAAAAAAGGAGAATAAAAAATAATAAATTAATTAAATAATTAATTTTAAAAGTAGGTAAATTAGAATAAAATACTTTTTCCATATTTTTTTTCCTAGCAGGACAGATTGAAGAGTAGCAGAATGCCCCATTCCTGGGAAGTAAGTCTGGTTGGACAGGGCTTTGAACAACCTGGCCTAGTAAAAAATGCCCCTGCCCATAGCAGGGGGTTTGAGTAGATGATTTTTGAAGTTTTCTTTCAACCCAAACCAGCCTGTGATTCTATAAAAAGTGCTTATTGCCTTTTTCCATTGTCAACCCATACAAATCACATATTCTCGGGAAGATGAGCTTGGCCTGGGGGTGCAGAGATACATCTGAATCTTCACCAAATGGCAACATACACCTAACAGGCTGCTAATATTCTGAATTTTCCCCTGCAATGATACCAGAAGTTAGAAAAAATATTGAGGATTTATAAGTGCCATTTATCCCCTGGAGAAGGGAGCCTGACTTGAATGCATTTGAAGGCGCTGCAAATTAGAAATGTTTTAATCATTTATTCCCATTGGTGAGCGCACTTAACAGCAGCAAATATTTATCCAGATGGATGAATGCAAGAATCAGTTTTGGCCTCAAGCTGTCACTGCTCCCAGCCAGTCACACATGTCACTAGTGGGTCTTGCTGACACATCATCTTCCTTGCTGAGAGCATCTGGGTGTCTTCACCTGCTTGCCAGCCCTTCCCTCCTCTCACTGGGCTGTTCCCAGTGACTCTTCAGGCTGTGCCAAGTACATCAGCCCCTGGAGAAGGTCTATCTACCAGCCTCTCACAGGGGAACTACTTGGGACTCTTTTTCTGGAGGTCAGCAGTACTGCCAGGATCTTGTATGGTTTTCAACAGGCTACAGGGGCCTGACAAAAAGGTTAAACCAGGCACTTGCTTGGCACAGCTTTAATTGCCCAACAGGACAGTCCAGAGTACTGCCTCCAGTGCTGCTGCTCATTTAGCTGCCCTTAAATGTTGTTCAGGTAGTAAGGAATTTTAATAAATTATTGCTGAGCAAAGAGCATGGATATAGTGCTGTGCCATAGAACAGGACATTTTTTAACCAATTTCAGTCTTTCTAGGACACAGTTCAGCTTCTTCCCTTTGAACTCTTGAAGGGAAATCCAATCTACACTTGGTGTTAAGTGCTCTGTTTTCTGAGCCCTTCAAACAGAGCCATGAATGCCTTAGTTTTTCATACAGAGAGCCTGATCCCATGAGGATCAAAATGAGGAAGCTACCTCTTAAGCTGGCATGAATCAGCAGGGGAAACTGGCCTTTATGTGCAGGATCTGAGACCCAAAAAGTGTGACTTCCATATGTAGCTTCCATCCTCTTGACAAGTTTCTGTAGTAAGATTAACTGTAGCTGACATAATTTTAAGGCTAAATCCTGAAGAATTCTGGAACAAGACAGGTGAAGTTCTATTGTTAAAAGTGTGACGGGCTATTATGGAAGGGCATTTTGAGAATGATGATCCTAATGGCAGCAAAACTGCATCAGGATTAAGGTGTCAGAGCAATTTCAGGGCAAGTTTTGTTCTTGCTTTCTAGCAGAAAAAAAAATCCTGTGTTCTGGCAAGCTTCTTCAGGACCAGAAAACTGGGTGCTTAGAATTCCCTGAGAGCTATGTAGTTATGGATTAAATTACCCAGGCACAACACGATTCCCTCAAGTGATGCTCCATGCGGAGGGTGGAGATTGTGGATGCCAGGGGAGCTCTCTCACATATGTGAGAGCTGTGGGGGCTGTGCAAGGCAAGGCCACAGGTGCCCTAACCAGCCCTTCTCCCCAAACCACAGCAGGAGCACAGCCTTGGCCTGCAAAGCAGTGGCTTTAAAAAGCACCCCCAACACCAGCTGCATAATTCAGAGGTCTCTCCAGTAATGACATCTCTTTAATGCACTCAGGAGAGATATGCAGGGCACAGAGCCCCAAATGCCTGGAAACCAAGGAGATTGGGAAAAGCTCTGGCATTGCTGACCAGGGAAGGTGGCTGTTTACACATGGCAGGGGGCAAATGTGCTCCATGAAGCTTGTTCCATGGCCTGGCAGGCAGGGCAATGGCCCTGCTTCTTGACCTCTCTCAGGGTTTCTGCTTTGGACTTGAAATTAATACAAGTTGTCATAAAAAATATGCATACTGACCATCCATGTTAATTAACTTAACGAGGATCTATCTGCCTCTAGCCCATCCCAGAGAAGTTAATTGAGGGGATTGTGTTTATAATCTGCCTAGAGAGTCCTAATCTTCTCTTCTGACTCCACCAAATCACGGACTGATTGATTGATTTTGGTCTCTTGGAGCAAAATAACAACCTCCTGAGACAGACTTTGGCAGTTTCCCAAAGAGAAAGTACACAGCATGGGGAACCAGGAAAAAACATACAGGCTTCTCTGTGGAGTTTAAATGTGGGTTGCTAAATCTTGCTCCCTTGAAAATGCAAAGCAGTAAATGTCAAGCTTTTAGGTGTACTTCAGGTCCTATGGAAAAATCATTGCTGTTGGCAAAGAACTTGTGTTGTTTTGTACAGATGATGGATGGTGAAGGTTTTGTCTGAGAATTGGTATGGGGGATTAAATAAGACAAAACAGAAGGTCATCCCTGCCTGTTGGGGAGTGGTAGGTTAGGTCTTGCAGAGGTAACTCCCAAGTCTGGGAACATCCTGTCCAGAGGAACAGAATGGCTACTGGAGCTGTTCTACATAGAGCAAGTCAGGGGCTGGCAAAATATGATTCTGGTGAGAAGTCAGTCATCAAGAAATACTGCTGAAAATGGTAACTGAAAATGGAACATTGCAGAAAAACATGCTGGAGAGCCTGTCAAGAGATCTAATTCTTCATGTGTTGCCAAAGTCAGACTAACTGCACCTAAGGTATTTTTGGCCAATATTTTTTGAGGTAGTAATTCTAATAATAACATAGGTAATGTACTTGCTCTGTTCAATATTTTGTCCTTTTTGAAACAGCTGAATACTTCCCTGAAAAAAAAAAAAATCGTAGCTCTTTCCTGTGGCCAACCAGTGTACCAATGTCATAAAACTGAGCATGTACTTTTTCTATTCAGGAAAAGTTAAGCAATTCTCCCTAGGATCCCAAGGCATACACTTGTTGCTCCCAGTGTTTTCAGATCTGGGCAGCATCCACACTGGTATAATAAAACTTGCCTTCTGGGTGAATGGACCACATTCATAGACTGCTTCTTTCCCTTTTTGTTTTGTATATAGGTTTTAAAGGCTTCTATAGTACAAGCCACTGAACCATATATGAATTTTCTTTGAACTTACATTTCTTTCATTATTCACTTCACTCTCTTCAGCTTCTTGGGAATGAGAGCCAGTGCAAAGCAGGAAGTTTGTCAGGTAAGTCCAATATCTGAGGGTGTTATGAGATTACAGCCCCAATCTAATAAGGATAGATTAGTTTTATTTCCAATTTAGCCATGAGCATTTCTGTTTGAACCAGATATTAAATCAGACTTCTAAAATTGTACCTGTACTCAGAGCAGCTGGTCAGCTGTACTAATCTTCAGGCTCAGTACTTCCTCTTGCATCTTGAAAGACCACAGCCAAGACGTGGCAGAAGCACTGCAAGACAAACGTGTCTCTGGTGTATGCAGGTAAATCACTGAAAGGAGCCTGAAGCAATTTTGATCCATCCTCCTGCAAACAGATCTGTGGCTTCTAAACTTGTGCTTTTCATGCTATTCTGTGGGGGGTTTTTTCATTCCTCCTTGACATGCTCTTTATTTTACTATGTGAGTAAGTGCAATTTTATAGGGAGAAGGGATGACCAGTAATGGCCACAGCTGCCATAGTTTGCATGATGTTTGGTGCTGCAGTTGCCATGCAGCTGTGCAGGGGACAGGGGAGGAAAGAGTTCACTGAAGAGTCTGATTCACAGAAGTCAACTTTGTTCAGTTCTGTAATGAGTGGATTTTTTTCTTATTTGTGATTAAAATGTCAAATAGACTATTTGATTTGTGCTCAGTCACAGTGCAATTCTCCAGTTTACTGACTTGCAAGATGCTGCCCTTTCTTTTAGTCCAATTACAGTAACAGACTGAAATTAATTTACTGAAATCATTGATTTTCCAAGGGGCAGAAGGTGGCTTCAGCCTTTTGAGAAAGAAGGCTTGGGTAACATGAGTGGCTTTCCTTGTCTACCGTGTCTTTTTGGGACACAGTCTGGAAGCACCCAGGAGCTACCCATCGACTTGGGCAGTTAAACCCACTGAGCCACTATATTTTCATTTTGAAAATGCAGGCAATCATGCAAAATAGAAGTTAACTGCTCTGCTAGAGGTCTCAAATGATTTCATTGCCCTTAGCAGCATTGCTAAGCTCAATCAGCTGTGGAGAAGTTAAAGCATAACCTCATTTCAGGCAGAGGAAGAGCAGTGTTCATTCGAGTGGTGCCTGTGTGTCAGTGGGTCACAAGCAGGCTCTTGAGAATGATTAGGTAACACATCAGTGACTGGGAGGGAAATAGTATTGGGGACAAGGTGTCAGACTGGGAGGAGGGCTAGAGGTGATGACTACTAACCTACTCTTTGTTCGCAACTAAAACTCCAGTTCACGTATGGCACTCAGCGATGGTTTTCATTACTTGGCTGTCCTTTCTCTGTTTTATGCAAAAAATGTGTCAGCAGTGACTTTTAAAATCCCCATTATCTGAGATATGAAATTTCACTGAAAGAAGCAGCAACAGTGGCTAGTATTGTTTTGGGAGGTAGATTCAACTAGAAACTGAACAGGTATTTTACATGGACAGCGACCCTTACAAATCAACCTAAAAGTAGAAGCCTTTCTTAATTTTAGTGGTGGTTGAAACTTTAGTAAGTCATATTGAATGTTGAAAGAAGGAATTTATGTTAAAACTTATCTTAATTCTCCGTCCTTTTCTTCAGCTACTTGGCCACAAGAGCTCTGGAGGGACTCAGTGCATGTTGCCGCTCTGAAAACTCCTTGAGGGCTCTTCAGGGCATGTTCACATTATGCCTTTGAGCACAGAGGGAACCAAAAGGATTCACATCTGCAGTAGCTACTTGTTACTCTGCTTATGGTGTAGAAAATAATATTATGTAGAAATATCCAAGAAGTTTCCTACTCTCCATTTTGCCTTCTAGCTGCTGCTGTGCTGTGTTTATCCTACCTGACTGCATCATCTATTGAGATGCCCTGATTCAGGAATGCTTCATTGATGCTGTTGAGTCAGGGACAGAATGAATGGTTCCAGTCATCAGAAGGCGAAATAGAACCTTTATTAGGAAGAAGGTTTGACTTTTATAGTCTGACTTGCTAAGCTGAGACCTGATTGGTCTCAAAGTGAAAATCTCTCACATTGTTGGGGAACAATGAATAGCATACTCTGGAGAACCACATCTATAAAAAACGGTTACAGAAAGAGAGATAATAATTGAATTCCTCTCTCTAAATTTCCCACAGCTTCTCACAGTTTCCCAGGAAAATCCTGGGAGAATTATCTCTTTTTCTTTTCAGAGGATATGTGATTACCACACTTCATCCCACGCTGTGCTCATATAAGGAACACTTAGCTCTGCAGAGCCTCCTGGAGATGACCCTGTTCTTCCCAGGACAAGGTGAGGTGTCCTGCTATGCAAGGCTCTGGGCTAAAGCACCACAAGAGTCCTAACACAGGTTCCACTGAAATATACTTTCTTCTCTGCAGAGCCAGGCTCAACATGAGAAACAACCTCTGCTTTGCTTTTTTGATTTGTACTTCACCAACTTTTCTAAAGAGACAGGAAATTATGGTTTAGTGGACAATTTAATAGATGATGGATGTGATGAGAGTAATACCTCATTTTTCTGTGGTTGCTTCTGACATGCTGATACTGTAAAATGTACTTACAGGCTACAAAGATATGGCAAACAAATTCATTAACACCTGATGCTTCCAAAATATTCTGTCAAAAAACAAATATCCAAGGTATGATTCTCAGTGTCACTGTAAACTTGGCCTTTTATTGTTGTGTATTATTTTATTTCTTTTCTAATATAGACAGCTCTGCTGCCCTCAAATTGTTGCTGCTACTGCATCTGAAGTTAACTTTCACACCTTTAATCTTTCTATTTGTTAACACCTTTAATCTTTGATGTGTTTCCTCAGTGGTGAATTCTAACCTGTGTGCCATGTTGTGCCCTCGCCAGGTGGCCTTCAAGAAGATATTTTCATACAATAGTATGGGTGAATTTAAATTAGCTGAGGAGCACAACACATTGGCGATAGTCTGTGTGGTAAAATGAGCTGTACAGACCATCTAGGTTTACATCATTTCAGAAGTGAACATAAACTTTTCAGTTCTGACCAGGTGGTCTGTTGCTTGTCTTCTTAACTCCCTCTGTCGTGCACCACTTAAAATAAAGCCCCACAAGCTGTGTCTGAGAAAAATTCACAAGCAGACTCCTCTTGCTGGAGTGATTCGCAAAAGCTGCTCCAAGTTTCTCAAGCTGCTGCCAAAGTGACCAGGGGATGACATGGCCCTTCTGGGAGCCTTCGGTGGAATCTTAACCATGTAGTCTCACACAAGCAGGTGTTTCCCAGCACTGGCAGCGGATTATCCTTTCCAAACAAATGCCTTTTTCAAAGCTATGGGTGCCATTATATTTTGTTACACAGTTCTTCATCTATTTTGAAACATTTTCTTACAAAACCTGGAAGATAAGATGTACAAGAAAAAAACCCTTAGCTGATGTTGTTGTAAACAGCGGGGAGTCACAGCTTGTGCTGTATCTAGAAAAGAGAATGTACCAAAGAAAGCAGGGCTTGTCTCATATGTGCCTTCCTTTTCATTTCAGAAGTAATGGCTGTGTAGGGTCCGTAAGTTTGATGGAAATATCCAGCTGGATTTCACACAGTGGTATTTCATTAGTTGATAATTGTTGGGTCAATGTGCCTGTTTTTTGTTTTGTTTTGCTCATTGGTTGTGCTTTTTATACTCTGCTTTTTCAGTAACTTGCACTTTGCACAACAAAACAGCTTACCCGAACAGAATATCATTGGTCAGAAATTGCATTAAATGGGAGCAGAAGACCACAGGAGCCTGTGGCTGGAATGGCAAAAAAGGTGAGGGAGCTCATTCTCCTCTGTTTATCCCCAAACATATGATCTCTTTCTCTGAAACATGACCTTTAAGTTAGGCCTTCTAATTAGAAAAAGTAACTAGAAAGTTGAAGCAGGAAGGCACCTAGACCTGAGCTTCTCTTGGTTTTCTCCCATACTCTGACCTGTCAGTGTAATAGGGAGCAAAAATTCACTCAGAGCATTAAACATCTTTCAGATGGAGAAACTGCTGGTGAGAGGGAAGTGTGTATGCCTCGCCATGCTGCCTCCAGACCCTGGCTGGAACTGGGGCTGGATTCCTACACAGGAACACATGCAGCTGTGAGGAAGGAGGAGTACAAGGAGGAAGCAGAGGAAGAGACCCTCTTCCCTCTTGTCCCCCACATGCAGAAGAGGCAGTGCTGCAAGCAGGAGAGAGGCACCAGAGCTAGGAGTGGGAAGGGGTGACAGAGGAAGCAGAGGGGCACTGAAAAAGCCTTGTGGGTGTCTCAGTGCCAATTCAGTGCCATGTCCCCTGAAAAGCTTCCCTCCCAGCCCATGCCACCCAGTTATCCAACCCGCCATGAGGTGCTGTGGTCAAAGGGGCCTGCTGGCTGTGGAGTCAGTAGTGCAGGTTTCAAAGAAGGTCAAAACAAAAACACAGTGATGAAGTGGGAGTTTCTGTACCAATTGCCAAGTGAACCTGTAAGGTTAGTTTAGTCTTTAATGAAATTCCTGCTTCAAAGTCTTCCTCTCTTTTCCACTGGGGACCTGTGCTTTCTTTAAGCAATGTTTAGAGGATGCCAGTCTGCAAGGGTAATCATTGACGCCTCTGGCAGAAACGGCTCATGCACTAGCATTTCTAAAAAGTCTCTCTTTATGAATAATTGAATTTGTCTCTGGAGTTCAAGATTTCTTTTTCTGTGTGACTGACTGTAGCTGTGCTTACTCCTTAGGTACAGTTACTGTAATTGAGGCAGAAGAAATGTATTGCAGTGGAGGGTTTTGTGAGCATGACGCATAATAGGGTGATTGCCATGGAAAGAGTAATTTGCAGCGTTTAAAATACTTCCTCCAGTGGTGAGAAGATCTGCAGAAAATTATTAAAGGATCTCCCACTGCCATCCTCTACTCCTACCTGAATGGAAAAAATATTAATGCTGCATGAGATGTTCCGGTGCAGTGGGCACAACCCCTCTCTGCAGAACACTGCCGAGGACCCATCCTCGATGATATTCAGAGCCCATATGTTCCTGACACCACCTGGGACACAGGGAACTGTCAACCAGGTCAAATGCTTGTTCAGACTGAAAGAAAACACTGTGGTTCACACATCCACTGACAAGGGATGTCATTTGCTTGGGCACAGCTTCTTTTCCTCTGAAACCTACCAGCCTTGCAGTGATTTCTGGGTGTTTCTGGATGGCAGGAAAAACCTACACATCCCAGATCTCAGATAATCATCCCTGTAGCTTCTCCACCAAGGAAAAGCCAAATACAGGTATGTCCTCCTTCCAGCTGCCAATGAGGTCCATTATCCCTGGATATGTTTCATAACTCCTCACATCCTCAAAATCCATAACCTGGCGTGTAACATCCAACTGTGGCCTTTGCAAAGCTGCCTGTAAGTAACTTTCCAGGAAAGGGGTAGAGGGGGAAGAAACTCTCATACAAATTTGCTGTAAGCAGGAACTGAAGTCTGGATCTAGGGAAGAGATATCTCCCTGCCAGCACGTGAGATAAGTGGAGTGTCTCAGGATGGGTTTTGCCATCATTTGCAGAGGCAGGGCTATGCTGTTCACGCACATGAATGTCAGCAGCGGGATGACTCTTTCAGGACCTGGGCTTAAGGTAGAAATGGGGGCAAAACACAGCTCTGAATGGAACAAAATTCCATCATGCTGGGAGGTTTCTTTCTTGTCTGTCTTTAATCACCAAGCACAGCAACAGAGCTGAGTGGCTGCATTCAGCCAACACAATGAAACATGGCAGCAGTATATTTTTAGGATATTATTTCAAGGGGGGAAACAAATTCTAAGGGCAAGATACTGTGATCTAGAGACTCAAACAAGCTGCTCAGGGATTTCTTTGTGTCTTGAATATGCCACACAGCACTTGACCTGTCTTTCCAATTTGGGATGTGTGTTTCAGATCAATAAAAAATCTCATTCAAGACAAAATACATTCTCTCATGGTACAAAGCTTACATGACCTGATCAGCAGGAAAAGCCAAGGTAATTGCAATCATAAATGAAAATCCAAATTTTAGACTGAAGTCAGATTTTCTTGCACTGTAGTATCTGCAGGTAATCTCTGTGTTCTTTGTGGTCTTTACTCTGAAGTGGAAACCAGAACATATCCCTTTAGTATTTTTACTCCCTTCTGTGGCTGTCAATTACCATGGCTTGAATATTCTGTTCATCCTCAGCTTCAGGACTTCTTGATCATCTGGGACAGATCTTTCTCTGTCAGATTTCTGAATGACAAGCAGAGATTTCATCCCCGGGAAAATTCCTTTAGCAGTAACCTGGGCATCCAGTGCATTTCCTCCGAGTGCTCTTAGTACATTCCATCAGGTAGAAGATCAATGCAAACAAAAAGACTGTGCAGCAGCATTTATTCTCCAAAAGATGTGGAGTCCTGACGTAGCCCAGCTGGCACTGTCAGCTCCAGCTGGAGCCTATTTAAATGTGACATTAAAATTTTGCATATGCACAAATTAGGGATGTGGTATAGATGTTATTAACACCTGGCAGGTCATCAAATAGGGAAATAATCAGAGTCCTTCTTTTTCACCTTTTCCTTTGTACCTTTCATTCTGGAGGTATGGGGAGCTCCATGGTTAGCAAAAGTTGGCAGTCAGGAAAAGACATGTCAGGACTCAACTCAGTCAAGGACTCCCTCCTGAGGGAGGGCACTGCTGGTAGAGAGAGGTGCCTGTTTAACGGACTGTGACACTTGCTTTCTCTTCCCCAAGGAATGGGCTGGAATAGGCTCTGTCACATAGTACAAATGGTAGGTTGTCCTTGGGCCCCAGAAGATGGAGCTATCAGGAGCACCAAGCGTCCTGCCCATCCATACTGCCAAACATCCACACTGTGAAGAGCCAGCACATAACACTTATCCACACTGTGCACATGAGGTGTCCTGCCCTGCTCTTTGGCTTGGGGGAAAAAGCCATGATAAGCAAGAACTCAAACCTGTTTCTTTCTGTAGAGCTGCCAACAGCAGCAAATTTGAATGACCTGCCTGCAATGAGATGCTTTTCTGGCAGGTCTGTGCCTAACTCATGGAAATGCAGTATGCTTCCAGGACAGCTCAGAAGGATGTACAGGTGACTTGCAATAAAGACAGGTGACAGAACTGCCAGGAATCATGTCACTCCACCTGAGGGTGCTGCCATTAACAAAACTGACAGCTGAAGGACGTTAACCACAACAAGGGACATTGTCACATGTGATACTGCAATTCATCAAACTGCAGAAAATAATTGGTGTTCTTCTTAGGAAGAAAAAGGAGGGGGGAAAGTGAATGTAGAAACTCTTATTTCAATCTGTATTTATTTCTGGAGATTGTTTATGATGTTTTGCTGTGTTTTTAAAACATACTGAGCGTAGAGAGTATAGAAATAGTATATGTGAGACTAACACATGAAGTAAATGAAGAAAGAAAGAAAATCAGCTTTTTTGTATGCTATCTACCTTATAGTACACAGAGCATACAGAATCATCAGTGTTGGAAGAAACCTTCAAGACCAATTCCAACAGCAAACCTGGCACCACCAGAATCACCCCTAAACCACACCCCCAAAAATTATATATTCAAACTTAGGTACCTGGCATATTTTTGAGAGTGTGTAAATCAGTAAACTGCTTACTCTGAGTTAATTTGAAAAGACAATGGAAAAAAACCATTGTTTTCAACACGGGCTAAAATGCAGGTAATGCTTTTGTCTTAAAAGTTTCACACAATGTACTTATTTTATCACTCCAGCAGGAAACTGAGGCTTTTGGTTTAATGAAGCATTTCTTTGAAGTCATGCTGAGTGACTGTGCTGCACATCTGCCTGTCTGCATGGGGTGGGCCATTTCAACTTCCTTTTCTGAGGGAGCACCAAGACAGCTACATATGCACCAGAACTTCATCAAGTGAAGATGAAAGCAAGGTGGCTTTTCTCTCTCTTTTGTTTGCTCTCAATGCCCAGTGTCACAGGTAAGAGTGTCAGGGGGACATCTTGACTCAGTTTATGATGGTGGGTGGTGAGGGGCAGGCTGGAATTAGTGGATCTTACTAGGCTGAGCTGTAGCTACTGGCAATGATTTTCTATTTCCTGACAACTTTCTAATAATCCTAGTTATAATGTGCAGCTAGTAAGGAATAAATGCCTAGTGCTGAGCAGATTACTTAATTCAATATGCCTAACCTGTTGGAATAATCACTGGGATGAGCTCACTTGAAGTAGGGGATTGTGTGCTCCTCTCAAATGGGCCAAAAGGAAAACTGCTTTCAATGGGAAAATAAAAAATACCTCTCTGTCTCTGTCTTACATACCTGTGTATGCAGAGAGAGGAAGAATTGAAACGCTTCAAGACAAGAGTAAATTGTACAGGTGAAACCTCTTAAACAGATTCTTCCCTTCCTCTTTTCCACCTAGACCCATGTGCTAACATCTAGAGAAACAAGTTGGTCATTCAAGTAAAACACTCAGAAAAGCTGACTAAGGAGGGCTGTACCTTTATCAGAGGAATTTAAACCAAAAGCAATCTGAGGAAAACCAAGAAAAAGTATGATGTTCACAAAGCCCCACCCTCTCAAAATTCTGACCATGATAAATGCAGGAATATTTATTACCAGCTAGGAACAACAATTTTGTAGGATACACAATTTTCAGGTTAAGAAGGGGAAAACTGGATGTGTTTGACTAGCAGTGAAGGATGCATCTCACAATGTGGCATAGGCTGATCTTTTTTTGCACTGAGGCAAACTGGTTCTTAAAAATAATTCATACATATATTCATAGAAAATAGAAAATCTCAAATGCAAAGCAAGGAATAGAAGCCTCAAAACATACACATGTAAGAAAGAAATAGCAATTACAGAAAAATAGGAGTTGGAGGGTTTTTTTCCTCTGAGATGAAATCCTCACTGAAGTCATTCAAAGGCAAAAGTGGAGGCCTCTATGCCCTTTGTGGAGATCAGACACCAAAATGTCTGGGAGTTACTCTAAGAAATTTCAGCTGGAGCTCAGGTATGCACTACTGGACACTATTTGATTTTGAAAAACAAAGTCGACATAAAATGAGATTGCTTATTTTGGGATGCTAGCAAAAAGTTAAGAACACTTTTGCACAAAATGTTTTCAGTAAAAATAATCTACTGTACTAGGCTATTAAGATATAATGCAAATTAAAATGTTGTTTCTACAGATATAATTTTTTCAACTTACTATAAATTACACAAGTGGTTCTTCATAGGTGTTCTTTATATGATCCTTAGACCTATCAGCACGAATATGAGAGACAAAATGCTGCGTGCCTTTTGCTTGATAGTCTGATTGCAAGATTCCTAATTGCTTTTCCCTTAACTTTTACTGATGCAAAACTTGTGGTGAAATCAGAGAGCATTTCCTATAATAAGCTCCTTGCACTGACAAAAATAGTTTTAGTAATTTTTCTCACAGCACAAGGCTGTGAGACTTGTCATTCAGGCTTATTTTTATTTAACCTCTAACGTCATCACATCTTTTAGAATAACAGATGAGCAGAACATGTGCAGCAATGAAACAGCAGAGATTAATGTTGGCCATGGCCATTGAGTTGCTTTGTTCTCCACACATCTAGTCTCCAAGTGTCCATGTCACCCATCCCTCAGTGTACAGGTAACAAATCGGAGCCTGCTCTGTGAGGATGTATCACTCTGCCCTTGTGCCTTCTCTCCATCAAGCCAGAGCTGAGGGTGCACAGTCCCTGCCTGGCTCCTTCCTGGCTGAGCTGGGGGAGTGTAGGGCACACTGCAGCCCCACTGAGAATGCCTGAGCCCTGGCAGGGCCCCCCCCAGCTCAGGTGCCCTAGAGCCATATACCACACAGCAGAGCCAATGTCAAAGCAAAGGAATTCATACCCAGCTTTTTCAAGGAAAGAAGGTGAGCAGTGGGCACTTGCAGCTGGCAGGACTGCAGGGCAAATTCCCAAAGCAAATATACAGAGATGTTATGGTACAGAGGGAGGATGACAAAATGGAATATAAATGGGGGGCAACAAGTCTGTACCTAAGGACAACTGCACAACTCTTTTTTGGTTTTGTTTTTTTTTTTTTTTTGGACGTGCACATTCTTTTGGAAAAGAACCAGTGTACAGGGGACTTTTTTTTGTACAGCTCTATGGAAGTGATTGATTACTTTTCTCACTACAACAACTCCCTCCATAAATTCTTAATCTCCTTGAGTTTGTCAGTGCCCTGCATTCAGGGTTTTGGGGACTGCCAGACTCTTACTCATAGGAGGGAGAAAGGGATATCAATCAATTCTACTACAACAGCAGCTAAACCAAGTGGTACAGGCTCCTGCTGAATGCCCCTTCATTCCATCGATCCATTACTCCTTTATATGGTGCACTAAGGACTGCCACCTGCTTTAGGAAATTAACAGAGGAAGAAAACACACACCAGAGCAGCTCACTTTGACACTGAGACAGACACTGGTTTAGGACATGCAGGAGCTGTTTAATAACACAGAGAATTTCTTTCTCTGCTGAAGCCACAAAGGCAGTGGGCAGGGGGATGGTGCAGGGAATTAGCCAGTGGGGATAACCCATTTGTTCTTGTAAAAAGAACTGGGGAATAACTGTGTCCAGCTTCTGCTTTATTTATATTAGTTGAAAGATTTTCATTTTCACAGAGACCCTCAGAGCTCTCATTTCTCTCCAAGAAGTGTGACAGGACCTCCCTGCCATCTTCCAGACACACATGCATTTGCTCTCCCAGTTTTCTCTCTGCAGTCTGTACTGGTTGGAGATTTGCTGGAAGTTGTAGGGTCTTCATAGTTGTCTATGGCTAAGGCACCAAATCAAAGATGGATTAGGAAAAGCTTTGTTTAAACATTACTTGCGCTGAATTTGATCTTGTCTTTTTTTTAAGGCCAGACTGCAGATGCCCAGACAGACAGAAGTGGTCCACGCTCCACCAGGTACTGACATCACCCTGGTGTGCATGTTCCCAAAATTGCACAGCACCCACATCATACAGACACAGTGGTCCAAGACTGACGGCAGCCCCTTTACCAAAATAGCTGTAAATCACCCCACCTATGGCACCCATTACTTCAAGTTTTCTGAGGCTCCTTACAACTTTTCAGTGTCCTTCAGCACAAGGATACGCTGCAGTGGTGATGACACAGGGTCCTCGTGTTCCACCAATCCAAATGCCATGTCTGAATGCAATTGGTGGTGCTGCACCTGGAAAATATTACCGTGTCCCTTACTGGGCAGTACGAATGCATTTTTGCTACCTACCCATATGGAACAAAGGCTGCAAAAATTCAACTTACTGTCAAGGCAGAAGGTAAGTGATTGCAAATGAGATTTTGCTGTTTCCTAATGAGGTGGGGGAGAATATCAGGGTAGATGAACACTTCTTGGTTGGTGATTTGTTTGGGATTCACAGTACTGCCACTGAATGTTGCTTTTACAGTTTCCTATTTACCAGGCACTCTTTGGTTCTTTTTTCCAACTCATTATTAGGAAACCTTAATTGTTTGGTAGAATAAAAAGTTTGATAGTAAAGTAAAAAAAAGGTGGTGAGGTGGGCAGTTTCTGCATTTTCATTTTGGAGAAACATTGTGGAGGAGACTGGATGAGCAGCTCAGGATATGGTGGGACTAAGGATGTTGGATCTTCAAATCATGTGCTGCTGCTGCTGTGGGTGTGCAGCACTGGGCACCAGAAAGAGAAAACACCCTTGTCTGATTGAGGCTGAGAGCTGGCATCTGCAAAACATGCTGAGTGTTTGTTCCATGGAAGGATGTGTGTTGCCACTAACACCTTGTGAAGGCTGACCTAGAACAGAGGATCGACAGAGTTAAAGAATAAAGAGTAGGTATTTATTAAAAGGCCTCAACAAGGTGCCAAGATACATCTTGGGCAGTATAAGAGCCCAAAAAGGGCTGCAGACAAGATGAACCCAAAATGGTCACAAAATGGACGACCAGTCACGAGGTCTCAATTTTTATAAGTTTTGGTCCATTTTGCATATTCAAGTTAATTGTCCAATTATAGTTTTAGGTTATGAAGTCCCATCCTTCTTGTTTTTCTCTCTTCAGCCCACATTGTTGATGCTCTTGGGCCTGAAACTAATATCGATTGTCCTTGGTCCCAAGCTGGAAAAGGAATTGTTTTGTCTACCTACTCAGTGAAGAGAGTTTACCAAGCCTTAATATGAAGTTCAGAACTACACACTAAAGCAGCACAGAATCTGAAAAATATAAAAGTTAAAACTTAAGGCATCACCACCACCAAAAAGACACTGGAGCAAAGTGGGGAATTGCATAGGCGAATCACAGGAATGGGGATTTGGCAGCTTCTGTCAGGCAAAGGAAGCTGGAAAGCAGTATGACTGCTCTCAGCAATAAGCCTCACGGCACAGTCTGAACTCCAGGAAGGATATTTAAATTATCCTGGTAAAGTAACAAATTTATTTAAATCAGATGAGAATGGATTTGACAACAAATTAAAAAACTGTGGCAACTGTCAGTGTAGCAACTTTGGGAACAGCTATTTGGTGACAGCAGTGAGGGCAAAAGTCCAAACTCCAGTGAAAATGGAACCTGGCATGAGTGTTGAGCAAGTCTGTTGTAGTGCACATGGGGAACTGGATTTGATGACCTCAGAAACCTCTTTCTGACCCAGGTTTCTGCTAACAACTCAAGTAAACAGCAAATCTGGCACTGCTTCAGTTCAGATCTGCAAGGCCAATGTGCTCACTCTGCATGGGCCCAAGGCTGTAGACACAGCAGACATTCAAGAGTTAGGAGCAGGGTGGGTGCAGGTCATTTTAGGGGCATTTTGGTGTGCTCCCACTCTCCTTTTACCTACATCACAAGGCCAGACTGGTAGTCCCCACTCTGGACTATGTTACTCCTGTAGCAAGAGGAGGTCCTGTGCAAGACTCATACTCAGGGATGTTTAACGCTGATGGCACCTGCATGGCAGTGACTCCAAGAATTTTAGTGCTGTTATCCTGGAGACATTTCTGGAGCAACCCTGTGGCACCTGCCTGCCCTGATGAACACACAGAGGCAAAGAGCCAATACCTCTGCCCAGCTCACAGAGGATGGGTGTGTTTAAACAGTACATGCTGAATAATTGTGCCAAAGCTGAAGCTGCCACTCTGCCTGCTGTATGGGGGTGTGTTGTGGTAGGCTACCCTTTTGGAATTTCCTTGTGCTCCCCAGGGCAGAGGGATCACAGAATCACAGAATCACAGGATTTCTAGGTTGGAAGAGACCTTTAAGATCATCGAGTCCAACCCATGTTCTAATACCTCAACTAGATCATGGCACCAAGTGCCACATCCAGTCTTTTTTTAAACCCATCGAGGGATGGTGACTCCACTACCTCCCTGGGTAGATGATTCCAGTATTTGACCACTCTTTCTGTGAAAAACTTCCTCCTTAATTCTAGTCTGTATCTCCCTCGGTGCAACTTGAGACTGTGTCCTCTTGTTCTGTCTGTTGTTGCCCAGAGAAAGAGACTGACCCCCCAGCTCACCACAGCCACCCTTCAGGAAGTTGAAGAGAGTGATAAGGTCACTTCTGACTCTCCTTTTCTCCAGGCTAAACAACCCCAGCTCCCTCAGTCTTTCTTCATATGGCTTGTGTTCCAAGCCCCTCACCAGCCTCGTTGCTCTCCTTTGTGTCACTCAAGTGTCTCAAGGTCCTTCCCAAACTGAGGGGCCAGAACTGGATACAGCACTCAGGGTGTGGCCTCGCCAGTGCTGAGTACAGGGGAAGAATGACCTCCCTGCTCCTGCTGGCCACACCATTCCTGATACTGGCCAGGATGCCATTGGCCTTCTTGGCCCCCAGGGCACACTGCTGGCTCATGTTCCGCCGACTGTCAACCAGCACCCCCAGGTCCCTTTCCACCTGAGCACTGTCCAGCCACACCATCCCCAGCTTATAACATTGCAGGGGGTTATTGTAGCCAAAGTGCAGGACTCGGCACTTGGACTTATTGAACTTCATCCCATTAGATTCTGCCCATCCATCCAACCATTCCAAGTCCCTCTGCAAAGCCCTCCATCCCTCTAACAGATCAACACACGTTCCCAGCTTAGTGTCATCTGCAAATTTGCTAATGAAAGACTCTAAACCTTCATTTATGTCATCAATAAAAATATTAAACAGAACTGGCCCCAGCACAGACCCCTGGGGGACACCCCTGGTGGCTGCCCCCAGCTGGATGCAGCCCCATTCACCACCACTCTCTGGGCCCTGCCATGCAGTCAGTTCTGAACCCAGCACAGAGTGCTCCTGTCCAAGCCATGGGCTGCCAGCTTGTCCAGGAGTGTGCTATGGGAGACAGTGTCAAAGGCCTTGCTGAAATCCAAATCAACAACAACAACATCAAAGGGAGCGCAGGGAGCTACAAACTGTGCTGATAGCCCTGTGAAACCCTCCCATGCTTCTTCTGTTCTTCATGCAAAGTTTCTCACTTTCTAGTACAGCAATTGAGCTAATCAGGTATTGCTTTTCTTCTCCTGCCCTTGGTTGATACAGACAAGCTCAATGCTGTTATTGCTGTCTACAGTTTGGGCAGCCCTTATTCATATCAGCATCACTGTGACTTTTTTCAGTAACTACAAGATGTAGCAAGCTGTACTACTGATGACTACTTGCCAGAAAGAACTAAAAAATTGAGTTTGCCACCTTTTGCAGGTTTGTGTTTTAAGGTAACCAGATCTTTTGCAATAAACCAGTCTGACTCAAAAGAAGGCAAAAAACCTTAAACCAGCCTATGAGTGAATGGGATGAATAAAGGTGACAATCTATGATGAAGTACAGTTTTCATTTACATCAAAGAGAAGTGAATCCAGATGCACCCAACTTGTAAAAAGCTCACAAAGCAGCAGGCCTTTGTAGGACAGACAGACACAGAGGACTTTAGCCAACAGGCTGTTAATGGAGATGGGAGTCAGAGATAGGAGGGGGAAGCAAGTAGCTGGGACATGTGACTGTGAGAGTAGGCAGAAGCTGTTTCCAGACCGAACTCTGGGATGACTGCTCATCTCCACGCTTGTACTCTGCACGGCGCTTTTGCATGGTGGTTTGTCCCAGCAAAATCTTCTGTACAGTTTTGTTCCAGGAGAAACTATAGATTTGCTTGCTTTGTCCATTCATTATCCTCTCTGCACTACCCAGCCATGTTAGGGCTTCTGTGCTCTCTGTCCTGCTGCAAAAGCTGGCTCCCCAGGTCCTTCAGTCTCAGGGACAGTGGAGGGAAGCTGCTTCTGCTACTGGCTCTCCCAGGCACAGCTAAGGGCACTACCTTTCTTCACATCTCTGTGGCACAGGCTACATGCTGGCACCATTGCTCTGTGCTTGGGTGCCAGGTACAAAGGAAATTTCAGTCACCAAAAAGTCCCCACTGACAAATAACATGGCAGTCTGGGACAGCTGGATATTTTCACTCCCCTCAAGATAAAAAATAAATTAAATACATACCTCTTCTATCTCAACATGCAAGCCAGAGCTACCAGGACAGCAGAGCTGAGGAATTTTCCTGTGTTGAGTGGCAAGGAAGGATGGCAGGATGTGCCACATCCCTGCCTGCCCCATGGCCAAGGGTCAGAGAGGTCTGTGCTGACCATGGCCCTCACAGCATCTCCCACCCAGCACCACTGCTCTTCCTGCTTAAATACACACATGCACACTCACAGACCAAACATCTGGATCACAGCAATGCACTGTTCACTGCACCACTCTGGTCAGCCTCCGCAGCTGGATGGAACCCTGGATTGAGGATAGGTAGGGTAGGAGGTGGAGAAATGGCTTTTGAAATGGATAAGAAAGGAAGGAGTGACAAGTTTGGTGGTAGTGGGCAGGTTGGAGAATAACAAAAGGAAAAACAGGGTTAGTCTTAACCTAACTAACATGCTGAATAGCTTGCTTAGTGAAAAAAGGATATCTGCAGATATCTTCAGAGAAAAGGAAATAGAGGTGCACAAAATTGATGTGAAGGTTTATTGCCACAGAAAAAAAAGAATTGTAACATAAAAATTGTAGCTTCCGATTATTCTCAGCTCTGAAAAGAGACATCGTGATCCTGCAGTTAAGAAAAGCTTTTTTAAGAATTGCCAAGAAGTTCTGGTAATGCTGTGAATTGAGTCATGAAACTGCACCTAGAATCGGATGTAGGGCTTTCACTTGAAAAATGTGTCTAGGGGTAATGGTTGAAAATTACAGTTCCCTTCTAAACCAAGAAGTGCCTGTTCCTTGAATAGAAGACTAGTCAGCATTGGTTTTCAAAGCACAATGAACATCATGTTTCTGATTTTCCTCCTTG